GTTCTTTAATTGAAAATTAATTGCCTTATTTGACCCTGACATGGTTGCTCATGGTTGCATCAGGTCAACACTGTGGATTGTCCATGGAAGTATTCCTCCTCTGAGTCATGATTTCCAGATGTATTCCTGCTAGCAGATTCCTTAAAGAGTTTGTCAGAAGGGGAAAGTCTGAGGGGCAGGCAGCTGACACAAGAGACCCTGTCGGAAACGGGAGAACATGTTACTGACCAGCGCATAATCTCCCATCATAAATGAAGTCTGGAGAGAGTGAGAGTGACCTCTGACCTTTTAAGTGGCACTTCAGTTATTCAGCTTGACTCACTTCTTGCTGGACATGAATGTCAGGACACGCTAGGATCAATGAACGGACATTGTCATGCAAAAGTACGAGCACAGCACAATCTCACTCCAGCGTCCTCCCTCTCAGATTCTTTCTCGAGATAAAGAAATTCAGGGGAACATAAAGGAGGCTTTATCATTTCAGCCTGGGTGGTTATTAAGCTGTATCTCTCTCTCTCTCTCTGAAAGGGATGTCAGGGGAGATTAGAGGTTTTGGACACTGCTGATATCTCATATGGAGGTCAAGAAAAAGCCAGGCTTCCTTCTCTATGGAGTCTCATTTGAACAAGTATAGAGTATAGAGCTGCCAAGTAAAGCCAAACCAATACTTAAAAACTCTCCTTTGAATACCTAACAAAGAAAAACATCCTGCACCTTTAATCGCGGACTCTAAAGTGCCCTTTCGGTTCGGTCTGATTTCTACCAAGGGGGACTGCCAAATCCCCTCCCCCCCCGGACTGCGATTGTGTCCTAGGAATGTCGCTTGTCCCCTGCCCCTCCGGAAGTTTGTGATGACTACAGCCTGCTTTTGTAGCAATCTGGGTTTGAGATGCAGAGATCATATTACTGATGAGACCCCATTAACCTCCCTCACCCTCTTCATTTGACTCGGCTGAAGTGTTGGGTAATTATAATCTGAACAGCCCTTACAATTCCAGACACTGAAAGGCTTTTCAGTCAAGAACAAAAAGCCAGGATATGACAAACCAATCAAACAGGGGAAGAGAGGGAATTTCTGCACATACTGAGGAAAATACTGCTGGTTTGGAGAAAGATTCTAAGATGTACAGCAATGGCTTTATAAGTTGAGAGGAGGTCAGTAGACATTTAAACAAGGCTGAGAGAGGCTTTCACATCTCGTCATGTGCGCCTGAATACCTCAGGTGTGACATTCATTGACTATTCCATTGAGACGCACTGTTGTTGTTCCTTGTTGTGCAGCAAAACTTCTTAGTCTGACATCATCGATATTAATCAAAGACACAAAGTTTTTGACAGTTTAATCAGCTCATATAGTCGGGGTTCATTCACATTCTATTTTTAAACCACCTCTGCCCCCTGTATGATATTTTTAGGTTGCAAACTTCTAAAGATACTGCATATAATTTCTCCTGTAGCAATCCAGTAAGCATAAAGATGGCCAATGTGAAAAAAGTACAATGGTATTAATTTAATAGTACAGTAATAGTGTCAGTCATGAAGTCTTGGGATTTCGGGCCATGGGTTTTCTATATGTTTTTTTTTAAACATTGCATGGATTTATACATCAAATGTGAATTTCGATGCAACTGAGTTTAAACAAAGTAAAAAGAAAAGAAAAGAAAAGTTAATTTTGTACTGATGTAAAAATAAAGGGGGCGGGGTGTTAATCTTCTTCTTACAACTCTAATTCCTCTATAATACTTTGAGTTTGCAGATTTGTTTCCCTTTCATGCACATTAAGGATGGAAGATAATTACAAACAAAAACTCTTTTTAAGACAGAAAATTAGTTTTTTTTTTTTTTGTCCATAAATTTGATACACGATTTAAGAGGGCTTAGGAAGACATGCCAACATTTCTGGTAAGTAAATATAGTAACAATTGCTAGGAAGCAAACGATTCAAAACAAATTTGTACAACAGGACACATTAGAAATAGTCTACTCCCTGCACAGTGCACTTAACACAGAACCAGGGATTGGATTTATCTGGGAAAAAAAACCCACTACAGTTTGTAGTGGTTTTCACCTCTCACAACACTTTCAAGAACAACAGATATTGATCTGTCTATAACTAGAAGTCACACTACAGACTGATACAGAATCCAAGACTGTCCGAATCCTTCTTATTCACTTTCAGGTTTTAGAACTACAACCTAAACAGCTCTATATAATGATAATTTCCAAAGAACTTTGAAGCACCATGTACTGTAAATACCGCAGTATAAGAATATTGTAATCATTCAAAAATTAAGCGTTAGCGTTAGTTCTGGCAGGTCACGTGAGTCAAGCTTGCATCAGCTGATTCTCAGCTGATCACATCTACCTATAGGAATACGACACCTATCGTGGCATTCCT